TTTCAGGGAATTCTAACTGTGTCAATATTGAGTAAAAGCACCCTCAAACCCTTTCTTAATCAAATGAGATGTTAATAGTTAAGAGAATTAGGTTGGGACCATGGCTCAGTGGTAGAGCGCTCACCTAGCATGCATGAAGCACTGAGTTCGATCCTCAGCACCTCATAAAAATAAAATAAAGATATTGTGCCCATCTATAACTAAAAATTAAATATTCTTTTTTAAAAAGAAACCTTCTGCTGAGAGAAAATGCTAACCCAACTTAAGAAAGAACTCTGGCTCAAGTGTGCCTGTTAATCATAAAGAAAACTGAGAAATCTTATTCAAAAGATGACAAGACCCACATTTGCACAGTAAAAAAAAATGTTCTTCAAGTAATTCAAGTGCTTTTAAACCCCAAGTGCCATTTTCAAACAGCAAGGGAAGAATAACAAAAACACTCACCTCACAGTTGCGTTTGCACACTTTAATGCTAGACTAAATGAGTCCATCATAAATGGCAGACTATTGTTAAGTAAGCTTCAGAGAAGATCCTTGTTCTTAGGTATTTCTATAATCATTTAATTAAAGACATTATAAGTTACAGAAAACCCCATGAAAAGATTAAAAATAAATAAAAATCTTCTAAAGTGGTTAACTTTTGAAGATTGGAGATGGTGGATTGGAAGTCAGCTACATTTCCAGTTTCTCCATGACACAAGTTTCAAGCTTCAGGACCACTGCTTCCCAGTGACATGATGAAAGCAGGAATTGACTGAAATTGTATCATCACAGAGAGTGTTAGAGAGACTCAGAAATTTGGGTTCATTGACCAAAGAATAAGAAAGAATATGTTGCAGCTAAGCTGGCTATGGCAGCAGCAGCAGTGCTCTTCCTATGGAGGAAAAAAAAACAGAGAGATAAACACAATGGACAGAAAACCTATCTATCAGAGAAGCTGCCTGAACCTAGCTGATCCAGAGGCTGCACTGTGAACCTGTATTTGAAAAGTGCTCAGAGATTTTCAACTGGCCACAGAGAACTTAGTCAGAACCATCTGGAGGCAATCTTTGTACAGCTGCTGCTTCAGAGTTGGAAGGTCACAGCTAACACTGCCACACTGTCCCAGGAAGCTTGTGCCATGTGGCCTAGGATATACCTCACAGAACATGATTAAAACAGGCACAGAGAAGACTGTACCCAGGGGTCAAGTCAGAAATATGGAGGGTTCTCCTTCGAGTCTGGTAGTGCAAATATGACCCTAGTGGCATCCCCTCCTTTACAGAAAATATTAAGCTATTCCAGAGACCC